TGATATTAGGGTGTTTGCTATATTTGAAGTAAAAATTGATCTTTAAAGAATTCAGTTTGTATGCTATTAAAAGTTTTCTTCCTGTTTACCAAAGTAAAATATACATACAAAAAAGCATACAAATCCTGTGAATAGCTCAATGAATTTTTACAAAAGCAAAGTAGAATATTACAAATCTTAGAAGGCCCTCTCCTGATTTTTCCAGTCACTGTCACCCCTTCCCCAAGTTAACTGCAATTCCAACTTTCTTTTTTTAATTCCAACTTTTTATATCATAATTTAGTTTTGCCAATTTTGAACTTTATGTGAATGGAGTTTATGTAGTGTGTATTTTTTGTGTGTGTCTGGCTTTTTTCATTCAACATTATGTTGAAATTGTGTAGATTAATCCATGTTACTGCCTAATATAACTTGGATTATATTATATCGCCTAATAGTTGTAGTTTATTCTCATTGCTGTATAATATTACATTATATGAATATTTCACAATTTGTTTATCCATTCTACTATTGATGAATGTTTCCAGTTTGGGGCTAGTATGAAGGGTTCTATATGAGCATTCTTTTATATGTTCTTCGGTAAACATGTAAACATATATTGGGTTGGTATATGCCTATAAATGGAAATACTTAGTCATAAAAAACCTTACGAATCCAGCTTTGATATCTAAGTTTTAAGAAAAAAGGTTATTGATTGTAGTTATTGTTGTGCATCCTGTTTAGATACTTGCTTTTTGTGGGCTTAGTTATTGTGGTGGTAATGGTTTTGTTATTGTTAAGGAAGAAGCATTACATTTCTTAAGAGGCATTTTCTTCTACAAGTTTGCAGTATTCCAAATGTACTGTCTAATGGTTTTTAAAGAGATGTACTTTTTGATGGAAACAAATGCACAAAACTACCATCTTAAAAGAAGAGTAATAATAAATATAAATAGAACTTTTACCATTCCACTAATCTCAGTATATTTTCAATCTCAACCCTTTGGTATATCCTTGAGAGATACCTGCTCTACTATAGCTAAAATTTTCTGTTTTTCTTGCTCTATACGTAAATGTATAAGAATTGTAAGCTTTAGGATACCAGTTATAATTTAGCTGCATAGAATGTGTTCTTTTCATTGTGTGGAGGGCAATGTCTGTGAGGCATTTTAGGATTAGAAAGTAAGTGAAATGAAAATGTTAAAGTAGGGGTTGGCTCATTAATTCAGCAAAGTTAGAGGTCTTTTCTTTTGCTAGAAGAGAGTATTGAAATTCTGGAATGGGGGTTTTTATTTTCTTTCCATGTTGGTACTGCTCTTGTGCCAAACTACCATTTTGTATAGTTTCAACTCTGTGCCCCATTTCTTTGACTGCCACCAAACTATACTCTAAATAATCACAAGTTTATGTATTGGAGCTATGTTGTAGTCAATGAAACGATGTCATAGTCAATGAAAAGTCACATGTCTGGTTAAGGTAGTCACAGTTCACAGATAATGATTCCCATTCAAATAGGGAATACATTAGGATGTCTCTCTTAAAGGGATGCTGTTTGTGAAAAAGATTACCTGTGATTCTATGATAAAATGATAGAAATTTCTTTTTCTCTATCCTTGGAAGTATTCAGGGTAAAGTGGTCTGAAAGGAAGACAGTTCATAAGTGTTTGTTCTTGGAGGTACATTTTATTGGGAGAAGAAAAGTGGGCTACACAGATGGGTTATTCAGAACATCTCAGCCTTACACAGGGAATTTATCATAATTGAATATTTCAATGGAACATTATTGGAAGGGCCTGGTTGGACACATAGCTCAGAGAAGCGAAGAGGCTGTTTGTGAATGTGCTAGTGTGTGATATGTTTAATTACTTGTTTATTGCCTGTACTGTCTGGATTACTTTCTCTGTGTATATATAATTAGGTTATCTTTCTCTCTGTGATACACTAAACCTAAACCTTGTACTGTCCTCACAGCTGACTAAATGGTCAAGTAGCTTCAGTCACCTATTTTTTCCTTCAGTTTCTCTTTCCATCATTATGGTGGTTGTTTGCTTGATTAGTTCCAGGCTAATTCAAAGTGTTATTGAGAACCTATCAATTTTTTGTCCCATATAGTATAGTTAATAACATTTTGGGTAGTATACTTTTAGTCTTTTTCAAAAATAACAAAAATACTAACAGTAGCTAGCATCTATTAAATATTATGAGCTAGATGCTTTTACGTATTTTTCTCTAATTCTCATAGTAACCTGGCCAAGGCATGTGTAATACTCCAGTTTTACAGATGAGGAAACTGTAAACCAGGGAGGTTAAATAACTTGTCCCAGAGTTACACCTTCAGATTCTTCTAGTAGCAAATGCACCTATCATTTAAGCCTTAGACCAAATGCCACCTTTTTCTAAAGCTTTTCTTACCGTGCCATTTGGAAGTAAACTGTCTCTTTTGAACTCCTGCAATACTTTGTACCTTTCTTTGTATATTTATTTTGCCTTCAGTTATAATTATTCCTAAACATATCTTAATTTACCAACTGGAGACTGTCTTTGATTTCCTGTAGTGTAAGACAGCCTTGAACACTGAGGGTGCTCGGTTATTTGTCGACTTGAAGTTACAGGTAAAAACCCATCAAAACAGGAGTAAACACTATTGATGCGTTTTTTTAAAAAAATTGGAAGAACATGGCAACATGTTAACAATTTGTATATTTATGATCATTTGTGCTTCTTGTTTTTTGAAAATCTTGTTAAATTTTGCTGGTGGTATAATTAAATGTGGCATGCATTTCCTGGTTTGGTGAAAAGTTTCATAATCTTAGCTATCATTTTCTTTAAAAAAGGATAAATAAGAAATGTCTGTTTGACAGAGGCAGGAAGAACCTGCTGTTTTAATTTTGTTCACAGCAGTGGGTCAGATTATGTTCTTTTGGAGCTAGCTTTAATAATAGGTTCAATATAATATTGGAATTCAACAATTGGTTATTGTCAAGTATATTATCTCTTGCATTGATAGCTGTCAGTGGGATTGCCAGACTGTTTAGAATGAGTTTATGGTAAATAGTCTACTCTTCTCTAAATATAATGTTTTCATTCATTACTTACTGTAGTGTGTTATATGTGCATTATCTTTTTGTTTTGTTTTGTTTTTAGTTTTCTTCTCAGGGAGAGGCAATTAAACCAAAACTTGCTCACGAGTGGGGGTGGGGGATCTTATTATTGATGATTTATTTAAATTTTGAGTGATATATTTTCTTCTAAACCGCTTTAAATAGGCCTTTTCCTTCTTCTGACTTGACTGATTTACTTTAACATTTAATTCAAACAAAGATTAACAGAACTTTAAATAAATACTTTTGTGGTGATAAGGGCTGTGGTTATAATTAATTGAATTTTGAGCTCTGAGTCTGTTAAACTAGGATTTCTGACTAGGCTTTTATAGTTTCTTCTATCTGGATTCTTGAAACATCCTAAAACTCTTTTTGCTTCCCTCAAGGGAGAAGTTCTTTTGTTAAGATAATATTTTTTAAATGAACATCAGTCTTTTTCATCTCAGATCTCTTGAACTTTATGAAATTACTCATGAAGCAAAAAGTGGACAGGAGACAGTAACTCAAAGAAGTCTTTTGGCCTTTGAGCTAAGATAGTGAGTAAAATTTACACAAATTATGCGGCCAGCAAAAGCACTCTTAATTTTAAGGGTTGAGAATCTGATTATTAGATATTCATTGAAATAATCATATTAAAGCAGTCAATATTCTTTAAGCATTTGACATTAACCGGAATCTACAAAATAAAGTTTTAGTTCTAGTGACAGGAATTTAAATTGTCCTTTATAAAATTCCTGTTGCTTTTAATGTAAAGTTATTGTAAAAGTAACACATGTTAATTCCAGGGAGCTAGTATAATGTAATACTGATAGTAGGTAACTTTGGAGTTTATTATATTTTGCTATTCGGTGTAAACTTGTTAACCCTTATAACAACCATATGAGGCAAATACTGCTATTTTTCCTATTTCATAGGTGAGGAAACCAAGCACAGAGAAATGAAGGGACTTTACTGAGACCTTACAGTATTTAAACTTCCTTAAGCAGTTTGGGCTTAGAGTCTGTGCCCTTAACCTCTATTCAGTATTGCTCTCACTGAATGGTGAAGATTTTGAGGTTGTTAAGATAGACCTAGGTATAAATCATGGCTGCCACTTCATACTCTTGGGACAGGAGTATATTTCTTGACTTTTCTGAGCTTCAGTATTCTTGTTTATAAAACAAAGGTTGTTTTAGGGATAAAATATGTTAACTGCTTAGCCCACTGTTTAGCAGATGCTATGCTTGTTCAATGAATGGTATCATTTAAAATAAATAATGAGAAGCAAAATGAAAAAAAGTCACCAAAACAAAACAACAACCATTGCTAGCATTTCAAATTATTCAGTCTTGTAAAACATATTTCTTGATTTTATTAATATATCTTTTCTTTATATTAATATTTTTCTTTATGTATGACTTTTTCTTGTTTTTGTTTCACAAAATAAGGTGGGAAGACTTGGATTTGCCTGTATCACTTAGCAGTAAGGCAAGCCTTTTTCAGCTTCTATGCTAGCCAAAACTTTTTTTTCTCTGTTTAGGAGTGGGTAGATGGAGATAGAGTAGACATGGAAGTACACACACTTGTTTCATCTTTTTAAACAAAAACAGTATTATGTTTAAAATTTCTTATATAACCAACAAAATCTAGGATGCTAGAAGTAGGGAGAACATGTGCTACTATTACTTTTATTAAAATAACAATGAAACTCCAGTTTCAGAATATTTAGAGTTAACTGAAAATACTATATTTGAATAAACAATCCTAATGAATGTAGACTATTTCCTCTTGATGAGTGAGCTTGTAGAAGTCTGACTATATATTGCATTGTTAAATAAATTCACTGGTTATGGGATAGCAGTAACTAATTCGTCGTTCTGTACCTTTAGCAACAAAGCATGGCTAATGTGTTTTTTTTTTTTTTTTTTTTTTTTCTTTTAGATCTACTCACAATGAGCTGGAAAAGAATCGGTGAGTCTGTGATGAGGTGCAGCTTTCACTTATGTTTAAAAGCAAACTCACCATTTTACCTGTGAAAATAATGTAATCATACTTATATAGTTGTAATTTTACTTTTCAGATGTGTAGCCTATTGTGAGTCTGATATATATGTGTTTTTTTTTTTTTTTTTCTCCGAAAAATGACTTAAATAGTAAGCTTATACCAGCTAAACTAGAAGACGTAAATACATTTTCAAAGCTTATTTGAATTTGAGTTTAGGGTGTAGCTTTTATTTCTGTCTCTGAAAACAAATTAATTTTTACAAGTGGATGGTTTAAATGTGGTTTTGCTAAAGGGTAGGATTTCTAAAGAGTAGGTAATAAACATCACAGAATGGAGGGCACTGAATTTTTCTTTCTTTGTAATTTGTTCATTCATTTATTCAGGTATTCAAGAACTATTTATCAAACATGAGCTATATGTCAGTACCAGACAGCCAGAATGCTTTACATAGGAAATACAAGAATATTTGAGATAGTTTTTGTCCTTAAGGAATTCAGAACTTTGTAAGGGAGAGACAGGTACTTAAAGTAGTATATAATGTGGTAAGTATGGTAATGGAGAAGCAGAAGGTACTAGAGGATACTGAAAGATCATTTTGGAAGATCACCTGATTTCCTTTTTAAAGGGAGTCTTAGAAGGTTCTGCAGAGGATGGTGAGTGAGCAGTGTATACTGAGGAAACTGCAAAAGGTTCAGTATGAATATAAAAGATTGTAACATAAGGTAAAGCATGCCAGGTGTTGAAGAGTCTTGTCTACCATGCCAAAGTGTTTAGATTTTTCCTGAGACCCATGTGGAGCAGTTACATAATTTTAAGGCGGGTTATCGTATGATAAGCCTGTGTCTTGGAAATATCATTTTGGTTATAGTTTGAAGAATTGGTTGGTTGGGAGAAGGGATACCAGAGGCATAAAGACCCTTTTGAAGGCTATTGCAGTAATCTAGGTAAGAGATGATGGTGGCCATTGAGACAGAAGTAGACAAAGTAGAGTATGAAATGGAGTCTATAGAAACTGGTGATTAGTTAGCTACGGACAGTTGAGTCTTAGATGATATTATTATTAATTGAGAAAAGAAATATAAGAAGAGGACAAGTTTAGAAGAAAACATAAGAATTGTAGGAGTAAAATATTCTCCTTTTGGTATAGAGATTAGATTAATCTCTCTCTGCCAGGCATGGTGGCTCATGCTTGTAATCCCAACACTTCTGAAGACCCAGGTGGGAGGATTGCTTGAAGCAAAGAGTTCAAGACAAGCCTGGGCAGCAAAGTGAGAAGCTCTCCATCTCTACAAAAAAAATAAATAAAATTTTGCTGGGTGTGGTGGTATGCAGTCCCAGCTACTCAGGAGGCTAAGGGAAGAGGATCACTTGAGCCCACGAGTTCCTAGGTTGCAGTGAGCCATGATCATGCCGCTGTACTCCAGACTGTGTGATAGAGAGAGACCCTGTCTTTAAAAAAAAAAAAAAAATTTAATCTTTTTTTTTTTTTTTTTTGCGACAGAGTTTTGCTCTGTTGCCAGGCTGGAGTGCAGTGACACGGTCTTGGCTCACTGCAACCTCTGCGTACCAGGTTCAGGCAATTCTCTTGCCTCAGCCTCCCAAGTAGCTGGGACTACAGGCGCTCACCACCACACCCAGCCAATTTTTTTGTATTTTAGTAGAGCTGGGGTTTCATCATGTTGTCCAGGATGGTCTTGATCTCTTGCCCTTGTGATCCACTTGCCTTAGCCTCCCAAAATGCTGGGATTATAGGCGTGAGCCACCACGTCCAGCTGAGAGGTTAAATGAATAACAAACTGAAATTATATGCACCAGCTGTTTTTGACAAGATTTCATGACCTTCAACTTTTTGTCATCTGTTTAACGAAAAATAGATTGGTTAACCTAACTGCCTCATTGAAAATAAGTTTAAATGTCAAATCCCTTGGAAAAGGCTTAGCATAGTCTTTTAGGCAAACTCAGTGCCTTTTACTACTTTGTTTGCACAATGCTGTATTCATGTCTCCTGTTGTAAGACTGAATAGGTAGCATTGTAATTATTTGTTCATGTGTCTCTTTTTGCCAAATGACTATGCCCCAAATGCAAAGATTCCATTTTGCTCAATTTTGTATCCTCAGTGCCTAGCATTTGATGTGCGAACAGGAGACAATGGCTGTAATACTGAGTGAAGGATAAAACTGGAGCTCAAAGTTGAATGGTCTAGTCAAAGACATTTTGCTAGTTAGTGGTAGAAACTCCTTCATTTTAAAGAATCTCTTTTTTTGCCGTTTATTTCTGGTTTATTAAAGATCTGGATGGATAAAGGTAGGACGTATCTGGCTCTTTTAAACATTGCAAAGAAGACTAAGAAATGACAGTTCTGAGGATCCTAAAAATAAAACCTTAAATTGAAGTTTATTTACTCTAAGTATATTTTGGGCCCATGCGTAAATATTGATAAAATGTGGCTTTTATAATTATTTCGTTTGAATGTGGTCCCTGGGGGACCCTCATTGGAAACCTCACAAAACACCATTAACACTGGAGTAGAGACTCTTTTTAGTAACTATTTGGTATGGATCTTTAAAAATATTTGATTCAATTTTGTTGAATGCATTTTGCAGATTATTTTGACTTACTGATAACGTTTTTAAAAACCCTCACAGACGATACATGCACCCCCGTAGTATTACTTTGGTATGCCATGTAAGTTGTTTAATCTAGCATCTAGCTGTGGCACAAGTATAACACATGTAGTTTTTATTACCTGGGCTGTGTACCATCTCCAATTAAGGTAGTTTGTTCCTTAGATATAAGACTTTAAGACTGGTTTCTTACCCTACCTTACTTCTGTTAAGACATGATTTCCTCGTCCTCTGTTAAGGCATCATTTCCTCATTGTCTTCTAGTAATAGCCTTGGAAATGCCCAAAGGACTAATAGACATTGTTTATTTCTCAAATTATTTCTTCCCTTCTCTCTTTACTCCTTTTTCTCCCTTCCTCTCTCTATTCCCTAAGTCTTCATTGAAAAATGATATAGAATTAACTTTTCCAAGATATATTTGTTTTTAAAAGGAATTTTTATCAATAAAAATAAAACTCAATTTTAGAATAATAATCTGTACCCCACTTCTGAAAAGTGACCAGTGGCAGTCTGGCAAAAAAGAAAAATACTGGTAGACATAGGATAGGGGAGGTGTTTTAGCAAGAAGGTGGTACAGGAATATTTTTAAAATCTAAGCCTATATTGTTTTTACATTTTAAGGCTCCCATCTAGTTCTGTTTAATAGTCCTTTTTACCAAGGCCTCTTTTTTATTTGATGTGTTAAAGAAAGAAAAGTTAATCTAGCTTTGGCATCCTTTAAAATAAATAGAATTTTGGCTTTACTTTTGATCTACTTTTGAGTGTGATGTTATATAAAGACAGTAACTATCAAAAGATCAATTTAATTTTGTCTTCCTTCTGAAAAGACATTTCTGAAGTAATTAATATTCTTTAAAATTTGCCACTTTATATAACATATTCATGTCAAATTGCTTTTTTCCTTTTTAGCATGGTTCTGAAATCTTGGATATAAGCTGCTCTGAGTTAGTATTTTTTTATTGGAGCAAATGCAGTGAAATTTGGAGTGGGTTATTTTTAATTGCTGGTGAATGGCTAAGTAATTCCAGATAGCTATCTCAAACAAAGCCCTAAGATTGTTGAAGCCCTGGCATTTGGCCTTGAGGAGATAATAGCCACCAAATGTTGAGATTTGTATGACCAGATCTCAGGGGGAAACCTAGTGGTGGAGATTGGGTATTGGCAGGCCCACAGTAGTTTGTTTTGATCCACAATTATCCCAGGATTCCTATAGCCCATTGGGGAGCTCTAGGTAGTTTCAGGACTGATAGAAAAATTCAGATTTTTTTCTCGGATAGATCTTGGGAGCTGATTTCTGGCTAAATCCTTGTTTGTTATACTGAGTCTGCTCTGGGTGGTTCAGAGCATTTGTTACCTGTATACCAACCCTAGCCCACTAGGGCCACAACAGGTCATAATAGGCCTAGGAGATGGAGGGGGAAGTAAAGTACTTCAGATGTTCTGCATTCCTCAGAATCCTGTGTGAATCATCTTGTGGTAAACTTAATGAGACTTTGAGATTAAAGAATTAAGAATTTACTTTGCCCATTGGCTTATCTTACAAGTTGGGTCCTTTGCCAACTTGATACAGGCAGTATCAATACAGTCTCAGTATAGATTTTAGATTGCCTCATTGTTTTTTCATTTTCTTAATTCAAATTGCTGATGATGTTTTAGAAAGAATCAACAATTTTGGCCAGGCATGGTGCCTCATGCCTGTAATCCCAGCACTTTGGGAGGCCAAGGTAGGCAGATTGCTTGAGGCCAGGAGTTCAAGAGCCATTCAACGAGGTGAAACCTCGTCTCTACTAAAAATACAAAAATTAGCTGGGCATGGTGGCACATGCCTGTAATCCCAGCTTCTTGGGAGGCTGAGGTACAAGAATTGCTTGAACCTCGAACCTGAGAATTTCAGTGAGCCAGGATTGTGCCACTGCATTCCAGCCTGGGCGACAGCAAGACTCTGTCTTAAAAAAGAATCAACAACTTTAACAGGACTCTGATGATGGTCAAGAACCTTAGTGCTGACTACAGGAGAGGCCATTTAACCTTAAGTAGATTTTTGTTCCATCAAAACAAAAAAGCTTATCCTTACTACAACATTGGCAAAGCTAGAAGAGGCAAAAGAGAACACTGGACCAATAATGTTTTCCTAGGCAGAGCAGAAGTGACTAGGTATTTATTAACAAAAGAGAAGATGTCTAGTGAATGGTAATAGGTGTCCTCCATATAGGGACTTTCACATACCTCCCAGGGAAAAATGAAAATTAGCATTTATAGAGTTCTTACGGTGTTTCTCCACTATGCAAGGCGGTTAGATAATTCTGTAAGGGAGAAAGGCAGAAAGTTTGAGTCAAAGTGTC